CATTTTGTGATGTCAACAAACACTCATTGCCACTTTTGTAATGGTCATCTAGTAGAGATTTTTTATTAATCACAGATACAATTATAGTAACACCGTTGAACAATACTGGTGTCAGACACCTTCAAATAACACATGCACTAATAGCACTTGCTCAATAATACTCACTCGAAAAGTAACCACCAAATAGTGATCCATATAGTGATCACTTTGATGCCACACTAATTCCATATATACATTTCCTTTACCATCACATGATCTACTTATTCAAAATGGGATCGCCTGTGTTTGCTCTCTGGTGACCTGTGTTCAAACTCCAGTGTCGGCAGTGACACTTTATTCCTATATAACAATTTGAGAGCTCAACAGCTACCTGAGAAAGAGGAGGAGTATAAAATTGTTCCAAAGAGGGAAAAATGTCTCATTATTCCCCAATTGCTGGTCTGAGATATCTCCTCATAACATTGCAAAACAGTTGATTAAAAAAACTTTGAAATGAAAATTTATAAGTGAGGCTCAATTTTAAAATTTTGTGTAATTTTTTTGGCTATTTTATCATACAAACCTATCTCTCTTGCTAAAAAAAATTCCCAAAAACTACATAATGCATAGAGTGAAAAAGGAATTAGAGTTAATATATATATATATATATATATATATATATATACACTTCAGCCACAAAAATTAAAAAAAAACCTGCATCTACACATTCCCCAACTTCCAACTGTTGGACTTAACATTTCAAAGATGCAATCATTCGAATTTCAGTAGAATTTTATTTTTTGGCACTAAAATTTCTCATTTCATGTTTTAAATTTTTTTTTTTTTAAACAGATATAAACTTAATTTCAAAGACAAGAAAACTATTATGAAATAAACAGGAAAAAAAAAAATTAACTTTTCAATCAGACTGACAAGGTCGTAGAAACCCATCAATTTTCAGGTAGTCCAAGTAATTTATGTTAATGACCTGAAATAAACCATTTTTATAAGAAAAAATTTTTTTGGCATCAAAAATTTTAAAATAAAAGCACAAAATTTTTCCAATTAATCGCCAAAATTCAAATTAACTGAAAAACTTTATCAAAAATACACTTTAGTAAACCTGATAATTAAGGTGACATCAAAAAAATGAAATCCTAAAATCTTCTGTTTGATATTCATAAATTTATCTCATCACTTTTATCCCTTTACTACAGAAGGAAACCAAGCACATTGAGAGCATTTTGTTTTCTCAGTTGGAAAGAAACTCCAACTAAAGACATCCCAATTGAATGCACCTATTCCATTGTACATGATACTGCTGGAGTATCAAAAGGGACTTAAATAACATTGAACATGACAGACAATCAAGAAAGAGAAATTTTTTACCATAGTTCTTATGTTCACGAAGGTTTTATTTCTACAGTTAGTCTATGAAATGTTTTGATGAAAATACTTGTTGGTCTTGGTATATTCAATTGTGCTATTTTTTAAAGACTTAGGGTCTGATTGTTATTGCAAAAATAATTATTTCCCAATAAGTAGACCAATATTTGTTGGTTTAAATACGGATTGAGAGGTTTCTATGATTTTATTTTCAGAAATATTGCCATCGGTCAATATCATATAGACAAAAAACAAATGAAAAAATGGTAGCTAACCAAGAAAAAGTAAGGTCATTTTCAGATTCAACGCCCTCAAATTAGCTAAAAAAGATGTTTGGTGTCTTAACACCATAACAAGAATTTTTTTTTGTTGACCAGTGTAATGTTGATGCAAAAACTTTTCCTTTCTTTCTCCGTCACAAAGTTTGACAAAGAAAATATCCATGATTCTATTGAGAAACATTTCACCCGACAGAAATTCGTCATTTGCTTCTATGACGGAGTGATGCTGCAGTTTTGAAATCTTCCATGCATTAATTGCAACTCTTATTAATAACTGCATTGTTTATTTCCAGGTAAACTGACATCTCACTTTTGAAGTAGCGACTTCTCTTCAACATGGACAGAATTTGGCATCATGATATTATCAAGAATCTGCAGAAAAATGATTTAGCCCCCAAGGACATTCATGTTGACATGGTTGCTACATTAAGGAATGGCACTCCAGCTTTACCAACAGTGCAAAAGTGGGCAGCTAAATTTATGAAGAGTCTTGAAAATGACCCAAAGTCTGGACATCCTGCAACTGCCACCACCAAGAAAAACATTTATTTGGTTCACCACATGGTGATAGATGACAGACAATTGACAATAAATCAAATAGCCAATGCTATTAGCATATCCTGTGAGAGAATTGAGAATATTCTGCACAATGAAATAGGCATGAAAAAGGCCTCTGCTCGGCAGGTGCCCCGTTTTTTGACATCTGATAAAAAGCACACCAGGCTGATCACATCAAGGGAAAATCTAACATTGTTTGAGGCAAATCCAACTGGTTTCCTTGAACATGTCTTAACCCAGGATAAGTGTTGAGTTCATCACTTTGAGCCAGAGACAGAACGACAATCCATGCAGTGGAAATACACCTCCTCCAAAGACATCCAAGGCCATTTCATCTGCAGAGAAAATTTCATTTTTGGGGGATGTAAAGCATTGTGTTTATGGGCTATCTTCAAAAGGGCCATACCATCAATGGCGAGTACTATACCAACTTGCTGAGGTAGTTACAAAAGGCTATCAAGACCAAATTCCCAAGAAAACCGGTGAAAGGGGTTTTGTTTTATCAAGACAATGCTCCAGTATACATATCCTTTGTTTCAATGGCTGCTGTACATAACTGTGCCTTTAAACTGGTTGATCATCCTCCCTATTCTCCTGATTTGGCCCCATCTATCATCTGCTCCCTAACATGAAAAAAATCTTCATCAATGGCTTCTAAGTACTGCAACACCAAATGGAAGAAGGGCGTGGACCACAAGTGGGATTACATTGAAAAGTAAACAAAATTTGGTCAGAGAACCAAATTTTCTAGCAGCAGACCTAACAATTTGATTTGAACTAAGGCCAAGACCTTTTCAGCACTTCCACATATATGAACACAATATTATTATTAAAATATTATTTAGGCAATACCACCACATTACGGTTTAAGGTTCATATTTCTATGATATATTAATATTAATATATTTCTATGATAGAAAAATATGTGAAGACCTTGCCAGTATGAGTTGGCCTTATAAAATAAAAATTAACCCCTAAAAGTATAACACATTTCTCCTTCTGTCACAATTATATGTCATAGTTTGCGAACATGACACTTGCATTAAATGTGGCACCAAAGCATTAAATATTCATAAGACATATTGGTTTATTTACTTTTTGTAACATCTTGAAGAAAAAGTTACATTTTTAACAGAATTTTAGTTTTCAGTTAAATTTAAAAAAATGTTTTCACTAAAATTATTGATGAGATAACAATATATAATTTTTGATGTATCAAGAACAATACTGAGAAAAAATGTATGACAAAACGGAAAGTTTTTGTGTGACCCGTTTCGTTCTTTAGGACTTCCTCTAAGGACAAAACACGTCATAAGAACTTTTTCCATTTTGTCAGACATTTTCCCCCAACTAGAATTATTATAACACTTATATTTACTTATTTGTTTTTAAACCTCCATTCAACAATAAAACCAACATGGAAATAACAACAGTTAAAAATATAGATATTAAAATATTTAATTGATATTTTAAAAATTAAATACGTTTCTAAATTTCGCTTTCATTGAAATTGTAAAATTTTAATTTAACAGAGTTATGCCCCTTGCAAATAATTCTTTGCGAGTTGTTCCCCTTGTATGATATTGAAGTAAATTCAATCTTCATGAGATGATCAACATTTCTGTTCTTTTACCATATTAGAAATTCCACGATGATTGCCGTTTTTTTTTATTCTCATCCTACCCACAAGTTTTTATTTGTTATATGTTCTAAATTTTCTCATTGTGAGTAATGTCAGCATTTGTTATTTTTAAGATGTTCTTAAATTAATGGAGGCCTTCATTATGGGTAAGAAAATCTAAAAATACTGCAACATTTTCTTTTTCTTTTTCATTAAAAGGCAGTAGACACATACAATAAAAGTCATGTGAAGGGTAATAATACATAAGTGAATGTACCTGAGCTCTCGTATTCCTCAATTTGTGCTTCAAACCAATACTCCATCCTGCTTCTATTATATATATATATATATATATATATATATATATATATATATAAATAGAAAACAATGTCATGTTCTCTTTTTATTTTTTTTGGCAAAGAGCCATAAATGTACAGATGGTGTTATAGCTCACAGCTCAGAATGATAAATCCGAGAGCTAAGTCCAAATTTTAGTCCAGTTCATTGCGTTCACTTACACACAAATATACTTAGGAAAGTTATGAATCCGTTGCTTCTCTCACCAGCAATAACTTGATCCTATAGCCTTGACTGGCAACCAGTCTACCACAAAAGGTAATGACAACCTGCTTAAAAAATACCTTATTTCAAATCCTCAAAATACCCAGATGAAAAAAAAAATGATTTGTACAAATTATCATAAAACTGGACTCATCTTCTGATTTTAATGTTATCAATACATAAAAAGAATGTAGCAAAGATGAGCTACAAGACTGTAATGAACATGGTTACTCTTTCAGAATAAATATATACAGAACAACAAAATTCATAAAAGAGACAGAAATTATATTTACACGCATACAGATAGTGGTTGTGCGTGTGTGTGTGTGTGTGTACGCACCACATGGTTGAGTTGAACTTAAGTAGTTGGCTTTGCCATACAGCTAAGTCTAACCAGAGAGGAAGAATTAACATGTCTTCTAACTACTGCATCATGGAGCAAAAACACAAAGAGAGAGCAAATTCTTTATTTTTATACTGCTGATTGCCATGCCATCAAGTGGGCACCCTGGCAGGACATGAAAATGATATGAGAAAACCATGTGCATAATATAAAAAAAAATATGTGAAGTGAAACAAGAAACAAAAAGTAAAAAAAGAAAACTGTTACTTACCCATCACCAGAGACAGAAATCAAATGCTTGAGATCATTTGCAAATTTGATAGAAGTTGCAATCTCAGAATGGCCATAGAAGCTGGCAACAAGTTCTCCTGTGTAGAAGTCAAAAAGAGACAGAATTTTATCAGTGCAACTCGTTACGATATAACTTCCTGAAGGATCTAACTGTAATTTGATGAGGACACCATCTTCGCTCACAGAACCTTTGTAAGTTTTCTTTAGTTTTGCAGATTTTATGTTGTAAATCCTGAAATGGAAGAATAAAAAAAAAAAAAAATGAACAGAGAAGAATAATTTTGGGGCAAAGACAGATAAATGTGCCAGAAATATGACACGATGTCAAAAGGATGGTTTTTCTCATGACATATCATTTTAGCTACCTTCACTCTTTGGCAATGTTTATCATTTTAAAAAGTGATGATTAGAATTGGAATAAAACCTAAACATATGAAAGCAAATTTATACATTTCCTTTGTTCTTGAGAATTCATTTGAACTTAGCACACTGCTTCCAGTTTACATGCCAATAACAACAGCACTAGAATTTGAAATTTTTGTTGATTGCTTTTTGTTATTAACATTTAAACATTTGCCACACACTTTACCCATGATAAGCTCATTATCAACACTTTCACAATTGGAGCAGTATCTGTGAACTTGGGTTCATACAGACACTTTCATAAACAACTGCAAGCTAAAAGATTTTAAATCATTAATGCCTCCCTGTTGTATCTTGTGTTTTCAAGATAACAGAGAGAAATAAATAAGGAAGACAAACTCATAGGTATTGTCCTGGGTAAGACATTAAACTACATCCGCATCCTGAGTAAAACGATAAACTACATCCAGCAGCAACGCCTCTGATCAGGAGGTTTTGAGGAGCGTGGAACCACCTCTTAATTGCTGGTGTTCCCAGGTCCACCTTGACCCAGGGTGGTAGCACCTGTTAGGGTCCCAGCTATGGGCAAATAGTTAACTATTACCAGCGATACTTTTTTGAAAAAAAAATTATTACCAGCAATACAATTTTGAAGGAAAAATATAACCAGAAACAGATTTTTGACGAAACAAAATATTACCAGCAATAAAAAATATTGTCGGCATTAAATAACCCATTGAGGTTGATATGCCGTAAAACAAAATAAACCAAACCAAACTCATAGGAAAACTAACAAAGAAGCACTCAAAATTATGGTGGGCTCTAATGTTGTTGAAGGAGATATTAGTTTTATGGGATTTTTAATCCATTAAGGCTCACCTTAACTCTGGTATCAGCTATAAAAATAAAAACTTAGTATTATAGGTTTCTATCCATAACTTATTAATAGAATAGGTTTACTACACAAAAGGTACACTTAGCAACTGACCTAATCCTGACTCAGTATCTATCTATCTATTTATTCCAGTCTGTTCATATCTATCCATCTATCTTGTGTTAACAAGATAATAGAGAGAAATAAATAAGACAAACTCATAGGTATGTAATGAAAATAGGTTTACTACACAAAAGGTACACCTAGCAATTGAGCTAATTCTAACTCTTCTCAACTCCACTTATTTACATAAAATGGACAATTCCATTCATTTGTGTCTTATATGACACCTCCTCAAATCACATTTTTAGGATGGGGGATATTAATAAGTTATGGATAGAAATCTATAATACTAAGTTTTTATTTTTATAGCTGATACCAGTGTTAAAGTGAGCCTTAATGGATTAAAAAACCCATAAAACCAATAACTCCAACAACATTATTTTTGACTGCTACCTTGTTAGTTTACCCGAGTAAAATTGGCTGCCCCTCAAACCAGGGATGAAAATTCATTATCCAGATCCAGAGACTTCTCACTTGTTGGAGAATTGACCATGTCTTCAAGGTTGTGGCCATACTCACTATGCTTGACCAATTGCAGGGTGGTGAGGCTATTTAAACCATAGTTGGAAAGTCTGAATTTAAAGTTATCCTTCCCCTAGAATGGTTACCACCCAAGGATATAGGACCCAATCTGTCCTGCTATTTTACCCATAACTAGGGGGAGAAGAGATGGATTCATACCTTTCCCAAGGGTATTTGCACACATGTGAATGTAATAACTGGAATTTGAATCATCTCTCTGATTCTTCAATTCAAAACACTATTATTCCACATGGTGTATTTAAATATATATTTGTAGATGAAGAATGCTTGAAAAAATGTTTACCCCTGAAGATACTTAAATGATAATTCATCATGTGAAACTCAACAGATGCCACGGTATATGACACAAGGGAAATTTTTTTTCAGGGAAAATAAATAACTTTATACAATTAGTTATCTTCTGCAACCTTTAATCCTTGTAGCTCAAAAGGCAAAGAGGCTGTCACAGTTAAAACACTTGTCTGTGAAGCCTGACAAAGTTAATTTTTGTTCATTCCTATTCCAAAATTTACATGGAACTTCCATTTAATGCTAAGGTCATCAGGATAGATGATGGAAGTGGCTTTCTGTAGGTAAATTTCCAATTACCTGACACAATTTATTTTTTTTTATTTCCTTAGCACTAAAGTGATTATATAAACTTACTATTAAAAATGTCTCAGTTGGGATTAATCTAAGATATGAAATTAAATCATTTACCTGACATTTCTGTCTTGGCAAGCAGTGGCTACAAACTTTTCACTCTGATCAACATCCATGTCATATAATGTTGTCTTGCCCACTAAATGTTGATGTAAGGTGAATTGAAATTCTGGATGCTATACAAAAAAAGTAAAAAAATAATTTATGCAGAGACATCAGTCAACAACAATAAACTTATATATTGTGTGCGTGTCAGACTAATAGGGGTAAATGAAGAGACCACTGGAATAACTACATTATAAACTTAAATTCATTATACAAAATATTTGAATTACTATTATATAATAACTTACAAATTGTTTTACTATATACAGGGTGCAATGGGTAAATTGTCACCATTTTATATTTTTAAGTTTGTATATGCACATTGTTTTTTATATTGTCAACTGCACAGTATAATAGGGTCAGTTGGGTACCTTGTGTGCGAAAAAGAGCACCATGACACAATTCACTCCACCAGAGTCTAATGGTGATTATGAAGGTACAGCAGCTTGGAAAACTCACTCTGACCATTCTGATAAGAACTCCCAAATTTGTTGGTGAAGGCCTCAGACTCAACATGAAGGCCTACATCAAGTGCCTTCAGGAGGTAGTGATACCCTAAATCAAGAGGGTGGCTGCTGGAAAATCTTATGTCTGGCAATAGGACACTGTACTATGCCACACAAGCAGGAGAACCTAGTCATGGCTGTCAAACAATTTTCGCAACCTCATCCCCCCTGACATCTGGCCACCTACCTCCCCAGATTACAACCCCCTTTATGAGTCGGGCGTAGCAGTTGAACGAGAGACCAACAAAACTCCTTGTAATACCAAAGATGAACTGAAGGCAAGAATAATGGCAGCATTCATGAACTTAAACAACCTGATGGAAGTCGTCATCTGTTGTGCCTTTAAAAACTCTGGTGACCCTTCTAACTACTGTCTTATCAGTCTCTTACCACTCTTCGGTAAAGTTTTCAAGGCTTTAATCAATACCAAAGTGGTTAAACACTTTACTTCATATAATCTGATCTCCAACAAGCAATATGACGTGCTCATGGCCATAACTGAATTTGTATACAAAGCACTCAACAATAATGGATAATCTCAAGCCATGGCTAAAGCATTTAATAGGGTTTGGTATGCCGGCCTTCTTAGTAAGCTTCAGGGATACGGTATTACAGAATGATTATTTGACTTAATACAATCATTCCTGTTAAACTGTGAAATGAAGGTAATCCTAAAAAACTACAGTTTCTCTGGGCACATTTTTGAGCTGACCCAGTTGTTCCTATCAAATTGTAAAATGAAAGTTGTCCTTAACGACCACTCATCTACATCCTTTTGTATTAACGCAGGTGTCTCTCCCAGAGCTCCATCCTTGGTCCTACATTTTTTTAATCTTCATTAAAAACCTTCCTGATGACATCAGCTCTCAACTTGGCATCTATGTTGATGACACAATCATTTACTCCTGCTTCAGTAGTAAGACTAATCAATCAGACAAGGCCAAAATCACAGCTGATGTTCAAAACAACTTCAAGACTGTCATTAACTGGGGCAAAAGATGGCTTGCCAATTTTAATGCCTCCAAAATTTAACTTCTGTCTATAAATCATCTCTCTGTCTTCCATCAACATGGCTAATGCTATCCTCCAAGAAAATGAATCATTGCACCTTCTCAGGCTCAGCTGACAATTGGGGGGGTAAAGACTACATTGAATCCATTGCTAAATCAGCTACTAAGAAAGTCAGTTATTGTGTTAGGTGAGACAATTTTTCTTTCCGGTCGCTTCAGTCACTTGTCCACCGTTGTAAGGTTGCCTCTCTGTGCCTTCTTTATAAATACTTTCATAGTAATTGTTCAGATTAGCTATTCATTATGGTGCCTAGACTGTATGAATTTAAGCAGAATACTAGACTGGTGGCAAGATCTCATCAATTTACAGTTGAGCTGGCTAGATGTTACTGTAAATTATTTGATAATAGTTTCTTATCTTGCACTCCTCGCTTGTGGAACTCCCTTCTGGTTCCATACTTTCCAAACCAAGTTTAATCTGTAAAAATTTAAATGCAATGTCAATCGCTATCTACAGTTGTCCTGGTTAATCTTTTCTCTTTCTCCTCATTACTTATGTTTCTGTTCTTAATTCATCCACCCCCACTGTAACTGCCTACGTACTGGTGGCTGTACTGCTTTGCTTGGGGTGATAGCAAAAAAAAAAAAAAAAAAAAAAAGAATTTCAATTTCAGGATCATTTGATAAGTTTTGCAACCTGACAACAGTAAAAGAACCAGTTAACTTCCTTGCTGCTTGACAAAATACAGTGTAACCCGGATATAAGAGAGATTTTCTCTGGTCCCCAAATTAGAGCCTGTGTTAATGTATATAAAATAGACCAAACCCGGATATAAGAGAAACCCGGATATAAGAGAGATTTTCTCTGGTCCCAAATTAGAGCCTGTGTTAATGTATATAAAATAGACCAAACCCGGATATAAGAGAAACCCGGATATAAGAGACTTCTTCTCCAGTCCTGACAACTCTCTTATATCCGGGTTACACTGTATATCTTTACATTTCCAATGGATCATTCAAATGAGTTAATTGTTATATTCCACAATAATAGTTTATCCAGGTTCCAGCAAATTATCATAAAAACAAATTCTACTAGTCACAAAGACATGGCAGTAGATTTTATTTAAAATGATATGCTGAAGACAGTTCTAGTTATAAGCTGAGACATTCTTTATTTTAGATCTTTCAATGAACAAATTTGTCATCACGAATGACAATCTTGTCTCAAAAGAAGGGAAATAAAATGGGATGACCTAACCAGTCAGTGAAAGACTAAGAGAAGCAATCCAGTATATGGTGACACTTCTAAGATTTTCCTAACATGGTGCAAAGGATAACATTTGGAACTTTCTACATCAACCTAATATATCAAATAAGTAATATTATCTTAGAACTTAATGCAGATCAATACTTTCAATCTTTATCATATCGTGTATACAAAATCAGATACATTAAGTGCCATTTTCACCAAAATCATTTGTAAAGAAAAGTACTCACCAATTGAGCATTACGAAATAAGAGAGATTTATCAGCACTACAGCTGAGCATACGAAATTGTCCATCATTGTTGGTGAACTTGACTGCAGTAATAGAAGAGGAGTGGTCATCCAAGGTCTGCAGAAGGCCATAATCTTGTTCAATGTCAAATATGTGAATCAAGCGATCCCTGCTTGCAGTTGCCAATAGACGGGGTTCTGGAAAAAAAAAAAATAGTTTCTTGCTCTCTTTGTATTTATTCAATAGAAAAATTCATTTTGAGGCTCATCAGAGACAGACAGACAGACAGACAGTAGTTTTGTTTGTTTTGAGGTATGCTATATTCATGGGTAAAACTTCCAGGTAAGAGAGTGTGTGTAATAGAGACCAATTCTATGAATAAGGCACTGCTATTAGACAGAGCTCAATTCTACAAACAGGTCATTGCTAATAGAGCTCAATACCACAAATAGGACACTGATAATAGATGGAACTCAATTCCACAAACAGGGCGTTGCTAATAGAGCTCAAACCATGAATAGGGCATTGCTAATAGAACTCAATTCCACGAACAGGGCGTTGCTAATAGAGCTCAAACCATGAATAGGGCATTGCTAATAGAACTCAATTCCACGAACAGGGCATTGCTATTAGACAGAGCACAGTTTCAGAAATAGAGCGTTAGACAGAGCTCAATTCCAGGAATTGAGCATGTGTAATTGAAAAGTAAAAAACAAATACCATATAAAACATCGACTAGAAAAATGCAAATATATGCACTATATGTAATGTAGATAATGTAATATACTTTAAACAAATCCAATGTTTTAAACTAAAGAAATCAATTAGCCAACCTCCCAAATGGAAAACAACAATTTAAGTAAGTAAATGAACAATTCAACTGTATGAATACATCCTTAACCACAAGTAAATTTAATAAATTATAATCAAAAAATAATAATTAATGAATAAATACAAAATACCCTAAGTAATCAATAATAAGTCAGAAGTCAACAATCCTATATAATAACTATAAAATAATTCATTCTGGCCCTTAATTATTTCTACTCAAAAGCCTCTAGAATAATTTAAGATATAATCATTCCCACCAATCAAATAACATTTAGGATAACACAATAAACTGGAAATTCCTGACCTTGCCAGCCATAATGACCCATTGCACAGACGCACTGTTGCCTCCCTCTGTCTGTTCTACAAATACTTTCATGGAAATTGCTCCGAGGAGCTGCATTCGCTGGTTCCCAGACTTCATGAGTTCAAGCGCCCTACGAGGCTGGCATCCCGCTCTCACCCCTTCACTGTCGAAACTCCTAAATGTAGCCGTCTCTTCTACTCTAATAGCTTTATGTCTCGCACCTCTCACCTGTTTCCCTGTGAGTTATAATCTCCAGCTATTCAAGTGTAATGTCAATCGACATCTCCAGTTGCCTTAATTCATCTACTACCCTCATCCTTTCATCTATCACTCCTATCTGATCTTCCTATTTTCTGTAACCCCTTGCGTCCTAGTGGCTTCCCGCCTTGCTTGGGGTGAAATGCTTAAAAAAAAAAAAAAAGAATCCAACACACATGGCCTAAAGATTGCACTCAAGTATGAAATATGAAGTATGAGACTTCAAATAAGATAACATAAAACAGAAGTAAATCTCATGTTTCAACATTTGCAATAGCTTCGGAATAGAATAAAACAGAAATATATTAGATTAGCACAGTAAACTTGATGAGTAAGTGATTAAAAATTCAAAGTTAGAATTTACTCAACATATTTCATCTTTTTTTTCAATGTGGAATAACAAAAATATATTACCTATTCCAAAAGGTGAATATTCAAGAGCTAACACCTCCGCATCATGAGCTTCAATTGTTTTGATTTCAGTGAATTCCTTCAGGTCATAAATTCTACAAAATAGTAAATAAAATAAATTCTAAAGATTAATCAAATTCCTGTATTTGATAAAAACACCTCTCCAATTTACTTTTAATATTACAATATTATTTGCATAATTAATATTATATTTAAGATTACAAATGTTATAGTTAATATTAGAATATTAATAACAAATATACATTTTTGATGTTTAGGAGGTAGTATCATCAGTGATGTGTTATAACCAGGATCATCAAGGTTTCAAACCCTTCAACATCAGACATCCTTCCTTGGGTGGCCTAATGAGGATTGATAGACCTCTGATGTTCCTGCCCACAACTGAATACTACTTGATACACACCCAATAAATTTTTTGGTTGGTTGGTTATTGGTTCCAAATTTTATGTTTTAGTTTAATCACCAACCAATTGCCTTCAAGCATTGGTCAACTGTTCCCATTATGTTTTGAACAATTTTTTTGTATATTGACTATTTTTTTATTTTTTTTATACAGCTTATCAACCTTTCGTGGGTTACTTAAAGTCAAAATACTTCTATTTGTAGGAGGTTACTCCTACAAAAAATGACTCAATGAGGGCTAAAGGTTTCTTTCTTTTGTTTTTTTTTACTTTTACTTGGAATGAAATGATGTTAAAAGAGAAAAAAGATAAAAGAAAGAAAATGAGATCTCATAAGCCAACTACCCTCTGTTTAATTCTAATTAATCTATCCATTTAATTTTTTTTTTTTTTGAAAGAATAATCTGATAAAGACTCTGGTAAATTATATTTTTAACTACTTCCTGTGTATTGATATATTTTTCATTTTTTTCAGCTTATTGTAGGAAATTGTTTACAGTATCCTGTGTTTCCAAGTAGTACCCCATCTAAATACTGATCAGTCTCAATGATGCTTAACTTTAATGACTGAAAGAGAACTAGTCTTTTGACTGTAGCCTATTTCTTGTTTATTTGGGTGATTTATCTTCTATGTGCTGTGTCTCTTCAGGACTTAGGCGATCAAGGTTTTCCACAATTTCTATCTTTTGTAGTGCTTAATAAAATAAGTTTTTTTGCTGTCTTTCTTCATCCCTGTTCTGCCAGTCATTTACACAAGCTCATTAGGTAGGTTACATGGGGCTTTCTATCTCTCTTGCCTTCAATAATATCTCCTGTGAGTGTCAAATTCTCCAAGCCTTCTTTCCTCATTATGTGTCCTAGAAATTTCACCTTCTGCTTTCTGAAATATTTGTCCTTTTTGTTTCCATTTTCTCTTAAACGTTTTAATTTCTTAAAAGCATTTTCATGTTTTGCTACAACTGCAAATTTTCTATTTATTCTAAAACAATAAATAATTAACAATTTGATTTAATGTTAAAAGTTGTCACAATCCTCTTTAAATTTCAGAAAAACAAATTTATTTAACACCACATTATAGTGAAAAATTTTTTCTATGATCTTTAGAAAACTATTGTCATGGTTACAATATATATTATTATATAAAGAATTTATATTTGTCTATATCTCTGAGATGAGGTATTATGATTACTTGCTTTATTTACATTATTCAGACTGTTATCCTCATCTTCATTGCCATATTCAGAGTGTTTCCTCAAGAACACATGGCCCAGTGGATAAAGACGTTGGCTAGATCCAGTGATTATACCCAAAGAATTGTGAGTTCAATACCAAGCCACAGTAGTGGTGAACCAAAACTTGCAGAGTTGAGTTAAAGGGAAATAACTGAGACATCTGGAAGAGGCACAGTATGTGGAACTAGAACACTCTACCCCAGTGGATGAAATAAAGGTTTCAGTTTGAAATTCCAATCACCTGATGAAGGCCGGAGCATACAATAGCCAAAACATTGTAAATATGGCAATGAAGATGAGGATAACAGTCCAAATAATGTAAATAACATGAAAAATTTATATTATTATATATTTTATATAATTATTATTATTATTATATAAAAAATTTAACAATTTAATAAGGTAACAAAGTCAGTAATAAAATAGAATTTTTGTTTTCTTTTTTTACTACTAAATGACCAACCTGACATTTCCTGTGCGATCTCCTGAGGCCAATTGCTGCCCATCGGGACTGACTTTGATTGATCGAATGCCATTTTTTCCTTCTTTTGTATCGGTTTTATCACTGTTTCCACCTGAAAGGATAAAAAAAAAAAAAAAAAACAATTAAAAAAAAAACTTTTTATCATATTTTTTTATAAAAAAAGGATCCAAATTCTCAGAATTTTTGCTGAAATGCTGCCTTTGGCAGTCTCTGCTCTATCAAGTTACTTTACTAAATTTACAATTATTGGAAAATAAGTATTACTAATTTTTATTATTATTATTATTAATAATAATAATAATATTAAAGTGTTGTCATTGTTTTTCTAGTTTTGTTTGTCACAGTTTCTTAAGATTATGAGACCATTGTCACTGTAAAGGCCTGTATCATTTTTATCGATTATTTTACTTAGTTTGGACTAGGTATTTACTCTGTCTACCCATTAATGAGAGGGCACGGCCTTGGGTAGCTATTCCCCAGGGATGGTCACCTCTTAGTTTGAACTAAGTAAATGTTATATCTCATGTTTTTCAGAGAACAGAGGAAAATAAATAAAGAAGACAAACTCATAGGTAACTAATGAAATAGAAGGTTTACTACACAAAGGTACACCTAGCAATTGACCTAATCTAATTCTCCTCAACTCTGTTTATGTAAATAAACAGACAATTCCATTCATTTACGTCCTATATGACAGTAAAATAATAAAAAGAAATTATATTGCAATGAATATTGCACGAACAATTTTTAGGGAAAAGAACAATGATTTTTTTCCAGATACAAATCCTAATATTTAACCCATAGCTGGGAGAGAAGAGATGGAGTCCTACCTTTCTCAAGAGTATTTGCACTCTGAAGTGAATGTAATGAACCCAACCGGAATTCAAACTTGGCTCTATGATTTCTCATTCTAAACTACTATAGAATACGCCACCTACACATCCTCTGCGGAAACAAAGCTGAATGACTGTACATGAAAACTTACCTGTATTATCACCATCACACAAGAATGCATAACTGAGATCAGTGTAGTAAGTCTTAAGGATCTCCTGCAAAAATTATAAGAAAGAAAGAAAATTTTAACCAAAATACCTCAAAGGAAGAAATCTGATACAAAATAACGTAGCTTCCCTGTGCCTTTACTAGAAATATTTACACAGTAATTGTTCTGATGAGTTTTCCTCTTTGGTACTTCAACTTTATGAATTTGAGTGCAGTACTAGATTGGCAACTAGGTCTCATCTTTTTACAATTGAAATGGCTAGATGGAACCATAAGTTCTATTCTAATAGTTTCTTCTCTCACACCTCATGTGTGGAACTTCCAGTTTCTTGCTTTCCAATCAACTTTGATCTTCACAGATTTAAATGCATCATCAATCGCATCCTCTTTCTCCTTAAATCCTACACTTTTGTCATCATCAGTTGCTTACTCCGCTTGTTACAGACTGTGCATCAACAAGAGATCCACAAAGATTCTCATGTTCATTTTATGAGCCTACTCTTCCATGCTGGCTCAAGGCAGGTTGGAAGAGAGTGTTTGTAACGTATAGTATGTGCTTCACCAGGGCTACATACAGGTTTGAATTCAGTGTTTTCCTTTTTCTAGAGTGGTTGCCAACCAAGGCTATAGAACCCAGTCTGTTCTACTATTTACCCATAGTGGAGGGAAGAAGAATTGGATTCATAACTTTACCAAGAGTATTAGCACGTAAGTGAATGCAATGAACTCGACTGGAATTCAAACTCAGATTCTTCAATCTGAGTCGCAATCCATTACTCTACCATGCCTCCACTTTTATTGTCCTCTCTTCATAATAATTTTCCCCTCTCCAATTCTTTCACTCTATCAAGACAGCCTATTCATTATTTTTTTTACCAGTATTTCTTTCATCTTAATTTCAATTGCTTTTCATTGTAATTGTCACTCCATAGCCATAAGTATAATTTATTTTTTTTTAAATAAAGATAACATTACTACTACTACAGCAAGTTTATGTAAAAAAAACATTGAATATTACAGCACCAGGAATTTGAGGGAAATAAGGAATTATGTCTACTTAGATTTGATCTTCAGTACCATTGACTCTCAGAAGTAAAGTAGCTTCCATTGACAAAATTCTAAGGAAAAAAATATTCCCAAGAGCTTATTCTTTATTAACGATCTGAACTGTTAACACCTGTAAAGTGGGGGTCTGAACAATTGCTATAAAAAACAACTGAAATTAAAATGAAAAAAAATAATAAGAATGAACAATATTTCACTAGTAACAAGTCAAGATTATGTTAGAAATTATTGTCATGGTATGAAAAATAGCTCATTACCACTCCCACACTAGATAGCAATGAGATCAAGTATTTATATTTCTATTCTTTTATTAGTTTTGTTTATACTAACAAGTACAAAAGAATAATGACAAATAGCAAGAAATATCAAACAGTATTGTAAAAATGTAATCCCAATAATAAATCTCACTTGTGGAACTCTGTTATACCGGAACGTACCTATTTCTATTGTAAATAGACTCTCCCACAGATAAGTAGTAGTAGCAGCAGTCGCCAGGGGAGCTGAGTGAGTTGTGTGAGTCAGTCGATGTCAGACATTAAAGTATGAGCCCCAGAACTAGATTGCTGCGTCATTAACTATTATTTCAAGTTCCTAACGTTTTGTACGTTGAACCTAATTTAGGGCCGACTTAGTGAAATATAACCTTCCACTGTGAAAATTACTCTACAACAAACTCATTTCCAGCTTTGTGCTTCCCAGTCAAAATTGATCTTCAAAAATTTAAATGTAATGTCAATCATTATCTTCTGTCTCCTTAATAATGTTTTTCTTTTTTTCATATTCTCTCACACTCAGGAATGGTTAGATGTAACCGTAAGTTCTATGCTAACAATTTCTTCTCCTACACTTCTCACTTGTGGAACACGCTTCCTGCTTTTCAGCCAATATTGATCTTCAAAAATTTAAATGTAATGTCAATCGTTATCTTGTGTTTTCTTAATTACTGTTCTTTTATTGTTCTTTCCTAAATAATGTTTTTCTTTTTCTTATATTCTCACACTCAGTAACTCCTTGTGTCTTAGTGGCTTTATTGCCTTGCTTGGAATGAAATGATTAAAAAAGAAAAGTTTAAAAAATAAGTTTTATTCAAGTCATTGTCTTCCTCCAAGTCACTGTCCTCAAAAATTTAATGCAATGTCAACTGTCATCTTATTTTTTTTTTACTGTTCTCTCTTCTTAATAATATTTTCTTTTCACTTCTCTATTACATGTTTTGAAACTATATTTAACTGTCTTTTTGTTTTTTTAATTTTTCTCTTTCTTGGACACCATGGTCTTTGGGGGTTTGTTTAGAGACCAAGTTACTGTCCTTTTAAGCTTCTTTCACGTGAATTGCAGTAAAATATATCTAAACTCTTATAAACAATGTTTGGGATTTCAACCATAGTGAAAAGTTTTGTCTAACCATCTCTCTGTTAGTAGTAATTCTTTGATAGCTACTTAAATGTTTTATCCATTTGACATTCAGATAGTTTTTGTCTGAGATAATCCTACTCGATTGGTCTGTGTTTTTTTTAATTTTTCTCTTTCATGGATGCCATGGTCTTTGGAGGCTTGTTTAGAGACCAAGTTAAAAGCCTTTTAAGCTTCCTTTACGTGAATTGCAGTAAAAATTTTGAATATGTAAGAATTAAATATTACAGGGGGCACCAGAATTTTAGAAATACCAAAGTGGGGTATAGCCCAAAATCGGTTGGGAAACATTACTTTAGTATTTCATATTTATTCTTGTTTGGAAGCTCCTTGAGGTAGGTATCTATTATAAAATAACAACCCAGCAAGTCATCACTCAATTATTCCTGTCCAATAAGCTTTTTGGAAACTGAATATGAAAATAGTACAAAGTTTTAACAAAGCATAGGATATTTACAGCTATCAATGTAGTCAAATTGTCTAGGAAAATCTTGAAAGTTAATGACCATGTATAATTTAAATAAAAGACTTGAAAGTATGGAAGATAATACAAAAGAAAGATAAAAACAATATTCATTACTCTTGCTTGGATTAAAAACTTTAAAGATAAAACATTATCAATCTTTTATTAATATTCATTTTAATACTTAATTGCTTTACATGCAAAGTATTCAAACAGTCATAAACTGGCAGTAAACAGTTTATGTCAAAAATAAAGAATTAGGCCTCAGTCTTAATTCCAATCCACATTATTGATCATGATAGATGGATGGTCTGAACAGTTTTAATGTAAGGTAAGAGGAAAGAAATACTAGCTAAAAACTGACTATGTTTAACAAATTTTGTCTGAATTCCTAGGATGAGGAGTTATTATTTACATTGTTTAATCACACTAATACCCTCATCTTTATTAGTATTGTCACAACATTTCAGCCTTTGGCCTTCTCAGTTGTCAGGGAATTTTGAATTGAACCCTTTATTTAATCTACAATTGTTCTTATTCCACTGTCCATGTCAAGAAATATCCCTGGGCCAGGTAGTACAGACTCAGTACTAGCAATAACTGAACAGCACTAAAAAAATAGCCCTAGATGTTTACAGTGGAATGAGAACAATCCACTCCCCCCATTCCATTCAAAATTACCTGAAAGTTACTTGGATCAACAGACACCTGGCAAAATGGCACAAGAGCTAAAAAAAATGAGGACATTAGCCTGAGTGTAAATAATGCAAAATATGATTAAAAATGTTTTATTTAGTTAACAGGAGAAATAAAAATTATGATAATATTGCTACTAACACCAAATATAATATTACTACTGCTACTAACACCAAATATAATATTACTACTGCTACTAACACCAAATATAATATTACTACTACTACTACTAACAAATATAAATATAATAACACCAAATATAATATTACTACTGCTACTAACACCAAATATAATATTACTACTGCTACTAACACCAAATATAATATTACTACTGCTACTAACACCAAATATAATATTACTACTGCTACTAACACCAAATATAATATTACTACTGCTACTAACACCACACTAACTTCATATTTCTGAGGCCAAAAAGATAATTGTAAATTAGGTAAAAACTTAAAAATAGGCTGATATTACAAATACAAAGGGGTGCTGAAAAGTTCTTGGCCAGGCCAAGAAGGGATTCCAAATATAAAGTCTAATGTTTGATCATTTGGCTTGACTTAGGGAAGTGAGCCAGAAACTTTTTCAGCACTCCTTTGTAAATTTTTGAATAGCGCTCAAGTAATAAAAGCAAGTTGCTAAATCAGCTACTAAGAAAATTGGTTTATGGTGTCAGGTGAGACAATTTTTCTCTCTGGAATCTATCTTGCATATCTATAAGTCTATCATTTGCCCATGCTTAGAATATTGCTGCCATAATGTTTCAGTGCCTCTGCTATTTTCCTGGAGCTCCTTGATAAGATTCAAAGAAGAATCAGCAATATTTTTGGTCCTGGTCAAAAGCACAGCTTCAGTTACTTGCCTACCACCATAAGGTTGCCTCTCTGTGCCGTTTTAATACTTTCATCACAATTGTTCAGATGAACTCTTCGCTATAGTGACTATATGAATTTAAGTGCAGTACTAGACTGATGTCAAGACCTCATCAGTTTACAGTTGAGATAGTAGCTGTAACTTCTATGCTAACAATTTCTTATCTCACACTTCTGGAACTCCTTCCCAACTCCATGTTTTCCAGTCAACTTTAATCTGCAAAAATTTTAATGCAATGTTGTTGTAATGGAATGTCCTACACTCCCTATCACCTATGTGGACTGTCTATATTAGTAGATATATATAGTTAGCACAGGATATAGCTAGGAGACTTGTTTCAGCAATTACTAGCCTGCTAACCTATTCCCTGTCTTTCAGTAGTGTATTCTCTTTTACAATAAACCTCTTTCTTTCATCTACACTTGTGTTGCTGTTCTTTTCACTCAAGTACCATCGTTGTTTGTAACCTCTTTAAGGATACAACAAATGTCAATCAATATCTACTGTCCTCTTGATTGCTCTTTTTCTTTCTCTTCATTACTAATGTTTCTGTCCCTAATTCCTCCACACCCTGTAACCCCTTGCGTGTTAGTCGCTGTACTGCCTTGCTTGAGATGATAGCGAAAAAAAAAAAAGAAAAAAAGAGTCCCATGCAGACATACATGGCTGTAGATGTTACGCTTGTAAGGCCCTATTTCTGTGATGTGTTGGTAAATATTCCAGATTCTGATTGTGTCATCATTGGAACAAGTAATAAAGGAGCCAGGTGGAAGACATGGAGAACTCTTGAGTTCTTCTTCGGGTGGGTATATCTGTAGAAGGAATAAAAAATAAAAAAAAATAAAAAAATTTGATTATTATTTTGCAAAATACAAAAAGAAAAAAGGATAAATTTAGAAATATCAACATTCTATTGATGACAATAAGAAGCAATAATGAGAAAAAAGCCTGCATGAAGTTTTCTTTTAAAACTAGTCGTAAAGAGTTAATAAACATTTTGATGAAATTAATGAATATTAAATTTTAATATTCATGGATATTAATATTCATGAATATTAAATATTAATATTCGTGAATATTAATATTAATATTCATGAATATTAAATATTAATATTCATGAAATACAGTAAATTTACAATTAGTTTTAAAAACATTTTAATTTATGTAGATTATGTCGTTAATAAGTATCTAAGTAATTAAATAAAATGGGGAATTCCAACTGAACGTTTCTTTCCATATAAAATAAACTTCAAATTTGGTAAGGAATATATAAGAAATAAATATTATTCAACTGAATGTTCATCCATACTTAGAATTTTACTTTATATATTATAATTATTTTCATTTCTAATCAAATAAGATTTTAATTTCATCATTATTTTCATTTCTAATCAAATAAGATTTTAATTTCATCATTATTTTCATTTCTAATCATAATTTAATCATAACATTTGAATATGCCATTCTATGATCGTTAAGCAAGCTGTTAAAATCAATAATAAGGAATAGGCCTGCAGCAGAATTTCAAATCACATCCCTTATCTTTAGAAACAAATTCAAATCATAGGCTTATTCTTTGTACCAATAAATTCCGCTTACCATCATAAAATAATGGTCATGAAGCAAATGAAATTAAGATGAAAAGAAAAAACATTATCATAACTGAAAATGTTTTGTCTAAGAAATTGAAACAATACTGGATATGCTAAAACTGTTTATGGTTTTTCATTAACCAGAATTTCAGGTGAAATAAAAGCAGGGTCTCTATGTTGCCCAAAACTCCTCTCCCCAAACGAACTCATAATAAAAAAAACACTACTGGAAATTTTTGCATACATGAAAAAATAATAGATTTTTATTAATATTTAAATTTAAATTATTTTTTTTAAATATGTGAAAAAAATATTTTAAAAAAGAAAAAAATTTTAATTTAAAAAAAAAAAAAATTATAATCAGATTTTATTTTTAAAGTTGAACATCTTTGAAAATATTATTTGCACAGATTGTGGTTTAGTCAACTTTCATAATATTTATTTGCTTTAAAAAAGAATAAGGATTTAAAATAATCTAATATAAAAAAAAAACTGTGGTAAAAAAAAAAGTAACTTGTGGAATTTCGCTGCTATATCAATTTTTGATTAAAAATGTTTTTAAACTTTTTCATAGAATCAGAGTTTGCACATTCAATCAATATGTAGGTTTACATCTTCAAAACAAGATAGATTTTGTCTATATTTCTGAGATGAGGTATTATGTACAGAATTTACATTAGTCGGACTATTGTCCTCATCTTTGTACGCTCCGGCCTTCTTCAGGTGGTTGGAATTTCTCAAGGACATATGGCACAGTGGATAAAGGCGTTGGCTAGATCCAGTGACAGACCCAAAGAATGTGAGTTCAATACCCAGTTAAGGCAGTGGAGAACTTTCAGAGGGAAAATTAGCAGGAGATAACTGATAACTGACATCCATCACACATGGCACGTGGAACTAGAACAGTCTACCCCAGTGATCGAAAGAAGGCCGGAGCGTACAACGGCCGAAACGTTGTGAGAAATATGGCGACAAAGATGAGGACAATAGTCCGACTAATGTAAATACTGAAGATATTTTTTTTTTTATTTTTTTTTTCCAATTTTTTAAATTCAAAAATCTAAAATTTAAATGAAAGTTAAATTTTTTTTGTATTTATTTAAAAAAACTTTTTTTTAGTTTGTTAAAAAGACAACCCAAAATATAACCTTATTTAATTTTTTTATTTTTTTAAATTCAGTTGAAGTTTTAAATTCTTCAAGGATCTATTCAACATCTAAGTCTTAAATGTTAAATAAGCAAATTCATTAACAATTTAAAACAATACTTCTATTTATTTTTTTTTTAAGCAGAAAAAGTTATTTTTTTTTTTCCTTAGCTGCATTCCTTCAAAAAAATGGATGATAACAGTTCTTTACTGTTACCTGTTTCTCTAAACAAAATCTGACTCTTTACCATCTCTTTGTCCCAGCACTGCCATCCATTCTTACAAACCATTTAGGTAAGTTGCCTGCTGTTTCCCCCTCTAGCTTTTAAATATGTCTTGTGAGTGTTAAGTCTTCCAAGCCTTCTTTCCTTATTATGCCTCCCAGAAACTTCAACTCTCTCATTTTAAATATAAGTGCTTTTTTAGTTGTCATTTTGTTTTAAAATAAAAAACAAAAAAGTTTTAAAAAATAAAATAAACTGCCTTACCTTAAGAAAAAAATGAAAAATAGTCTTATTGCAAAAGAATTAAAAATTCTCTAAAGATTTAGACAAATTGAGAAAAAACAAAATGGTGTAAAGAAAATTCAGAATTCCACATATGCATGAAATATTTTCACCCTTGATTGACTGCAACATTCATTTGAGAATTCTTGAAGTAATGAAATTTTTTTTTTTTAATTATTTATTAACTAATTATAATAGTCATGCAACCAATTCATTATTCATACTAACCTCAAGATCCCAAATACATCCAGAATGATATAAAGAGGACCAAACTTTGCCAACTTTCTTAATGTCATGCACATCCCAGATGTATAAACTGTGATCATTGTAAGCACAAGTAATCTGAAAAACAAATAACAACGAAAAATGAATGGAAAAGAAAAATCAATCATTAAAATAAATTTGCAAAAAATCCAGGGTGTAAGTTAACATTTTCACATGAATCAATAATTGCATTTTCAAGAAATTTTCATCTAATTATTTTCTTTCTCCGATATAATTTATTAGGAAATGAATTAAATCTGATATGTTTTTAATTTATTTGTTTAAACGTTACTCATATTTGATATTAATACGTGTACCTATGTTAACTACCTAATACCACAATATTAAATAAAGAGAAAGAAAGAGGTCGTATGTTATCAAATATGTTTGTTTTTTTTATTTCTTTTAATGCCATGGCACTCCAAGACATAGGCAATTGTGACTCCCTAAAAATTCCTTTATTAGATGAGAATTCTTGGGAAAGATATTTGAGTGGTTTCCTGTTGCCTTCCCAGCTTGGAATTCAGTGTTTTCTGAACTCAGTCTACTTTGCTATTTAACCCATAAAACGAAGAAGAAAAAATGAATTCATGCCTTTTACAAGGGCATTTATATGAAAGTGAAGATAACAGACTTGCCCAGAATTTGAATTTGGCTCTCCAATTACACTTTCCCTTTACACTACCTACGCATCCATCAAATGTGATGCAGACACTAAATTTCTGTTCTTTCATCCTCATCATCTTCAGAGTGCCCGACGAGCTATCTCATGAGAAATTTCCGTTTTTGATGATCAACTTTATTCTCAAAAAGAAAAAAAAAGGTACAGGATGAGGCAAAAATCACTCAATAACGGTTAATGGATAGATTGAAAAGGTCCTGTTGAGTGGTTACCGAGGTCACTAGATCTCACCCCTTGGATTTGTTTTTCTGTAGAGCCATTTGAAATCAGTTGTTTGTCAGACTCACCCAAGAAATATTGAGGAACTTAAAAAAAAGAATTAAATATGAATGAAGTAAAATGACAGAGGAAACTCTCCGACCTGTTAATGAATCCTGCAGGCACAGAATTGAAATGTATTTTGAAAAAAAACAAACATCATTTTTAACAGCACATAATAATTAGTAAATAAAAATTTTTATATGTAAATTATCCCTATGGCGTGCTCCGTCCTGAGTAAGACGTTAAACTACATCCACATCCTGGGTAAGATGATAAACTACGTCCAGCAGCGAGGCCTCTGATCAGGAGGTTTTGAGGAGTGTAGAACCACCTCTTAATTGCTGGTGTTCCCAGGTCCACCCTGACCCAGGGTGTTAGCACCTGTTAGAGTCCCAGCTATGAGCAAATAGTTAATTACTAGCAGTAGAGCCCGGCGTTGCCCAGGGATGTAACAGTAAGAGATAGATCAAGTATCAACCATCATAAAGACTGAAAAATAAAATTGACAAAGATTATTGTTTAAGGTTGACGGACACACGTCTTAATTTGTTTTTTGTTTTTTTTACGAATTGGTCAAACTCAAACAAAAACATTGTTTTCAATTGTTATGAGTCTACCAATTGAATAGAATTTTATTATAAACAATTGTCTTGTAAATGGAATTTTTAAAGCATTGAATGTAAAAAATAAAGAAAAAAAGTGTGCAAGACAATAAGAAATACTACCTGCAAAAAAAAAAAAAAAAAAAAAAAAAAGTGAAGTTTTGTTGAAATCGGTTGAAAAATGTAGGAAATCCGATCCCATATATAAACGAACACACACACTCACACACAAACAACCTGGGTTTTATAATAAGTATAACTCGATATGAGTTGTCCTCCTTTCATTATCGTGATGCCTCTTAATCGTGTTTTCAAATTGATTTTGTGCAAAAAACAATTGTGTTTTTCCAATTTTTGGTGCTGTCAGAACCACTGCAATGTAATTTTACGTAGTCCTGTGAAGTTTTGTTGAAATCGGTTGAAAAATGTAGGAAATCCAATCCAATATATAAACTTACAAACACACACACACACAACCTGGGTTTTATAATAAGTATGATTACCAGCAATACAATTTTGAAGGAAACATATTACCAGAAACAGATCTTTGTAAAAAACAAAATTTTACCAGCAATAAATAATATTGTCGGCATTAAATACCCATGAGGTTGATATGCTGTAAAACAAAACAAAATAAACCAAACCCTATTAGTGTGCAACTTTTGCCTCACTGTGTACAATCATATTTTATTCAATTATATATTCACCCTTATTTGAAATGACTTGCTACCACTTATCAGGCAGCTCTTTGATACTTTTTGAGTAAAATTCTGCAGGTTTTTGATATGAAAAAGCTTTTAACAAACTCTTGAATGAAGTTTTCATTAGAACCCCCCCCCCCCAACCACCACCACTACCACCCATTTTACAAAGTGTTTTGCAACAATCAATAAAAAAAATGTTAATTGGTTGGTGTAAGGTCAGATGAATATGTTGAGTGGGGTAGAACAGATCTATTGCATAAAACTTTTTCATGGATTATTTTTGCTGTATGCGGTGTTGTATTGTCTTATAGGAGAACAACAATTTTCCTTTCATCCACTGTGTATGCTGCCATTGCTGTGCAAAAACTAAGGTATGTTAGTGCATTCCATAGTTATTTTCATTTGGTTCCTCAAAACAGAAATTACTCCGAGATACAGATACTACACTCTGATCCCGCCCAGTAGCATAATAAGACTGATATTTACCTACCTCCCCAAACTGGCAGGATATAGAACAAGGTCAGTTTAATATAGGTTTGTTTGTTTTACAACATATCAACTTCAATGGGTCATTCAATGCTGGCACTATTTTTCCTTCAAAAATATATTGTTGGTAATATTTTGTTTTTTTTGTTTTTTTCCAAAAATGTATTGCTGGTAAAAAATTTTTCCAAAATGGCATTGCTGGTATTAAAACTTATTTTTATACTTTCATGGTGTTTTGACCAATTTTTAGGAGGTGGGGGTAACTATTTGCCCATAGCTGGGACCCTGACAGGTGCTACCACCTTTGATCAAGGTGAACCTGGGAATACTAGTAATTAAGACATGGTTCTATGATGCTCAAAACCTTCTTCTAATCAAAGGACTTGCTGTCAGATGGAGTTTATCATCTTACCCAGGACATAGATGTAGTTTATCATCATACCAAGGACGGGTTTAATATAGGGTACTCATACATGTACATTTAGGCAAAGGATAAAAACTTTCCAGTTCCCATGACCAATAACACCCTTTTTAGTGCTTTGAGGTAGGTACTGTTACAGGGTTAGAATCCTAGAAGCAGGCTAACTTCTTTAAGGGGAAAAGAAAACAAGTAGTACACTTTGAGATGAAAAGCTGACTGAAATCAGTATTACCCATCTCCCAATAGTAGAAGGTTGGTTGTGTTTTATGGCATATCAACCACTGTAGGTCATTTAATGCCAAATTTAGTTTTTTTTTTATTTTATATATATATATATATATATATATATATATATATATATATTAAATACTAGCAGTAGAGCCCAGGGATGTAACAGTAAGAGATAGATCAAGTATCAACCATCATAAAGACTGAAAAATAAAATTGACAAAGATTATTGTTTAAAGTTGGCAGACACGCATGTCTTAATTAGTTTTTTTTTTACGAATTGGTCAAAGCCAAACTCAAACAAAAACATTGTTTTCAATCATTATGAGTCTACTGATTGAATAGAATTTTATTATAAACAATTGTCTTGTAAATGGAATTTTTAAAGCATTCTGAATGTAAAAATAAAGAAAAAAGTGTGCAAGACAATAAGAAACACTACCTGCCAAAAAAAAAGTGAAGTTTTGTTGAAATCAGTTGAAAAATGTAGGAAATCCGATCCCATATATAAACGCACACACACACAACCTGGGTTATATAATAAGTATAACTCGATATGAGTTGCCCCCCTTTTCATTCTCCTGATGCCTCTTAATCATGTTTTCAAATTGATTTTGTGCAAAAACAATTGTGCTTTTCCAATTTTTGGTGCTGTCAGAACCACTGCAAGGTAATTTTACGTTGTCCTGTAAAGTTTTTTTGAAATCGGTTGAAAAATGTAGGAAATCCGATCCAATATATAAACGTACAGACACACACACAGAACCTGGGTTTTATAACAAGTATGATATAGTACTAGTAAACGTATAGCTGGCAGCATTATTTTTTTCAAAAACGTATAGCTCAATAGTAGTAGGTTTAATGTGTATGTGTGTGTGTCTGTGTGTGTGTGGTGGGATGCCCATATGCATACATACATACAAGCCAAGATTAGAAATTGCTAACTTCCTGTAACCACTGTCATGCTGGCATTGGTATCATTCAACGCTTGCTCTTCGGTGCAATGAAGAAGGTGTTACCATAAGGTAGGTAGCTTCCAAGACTAGGTAGGTAACTCCCATTGCAAATTACAAAACTGCCTAAAGGCAGAAACAGTCGGGAGAAAGAGAATGCATACTACATTCTAATCCCAGCTAGCCGACTGATTAGATCTCTTGTGAGAAATCTGACTTGAAAAGTTAAAAAAAAAAAAAAAAAAAAAAGGCCTAGTGCTTTAATCAGCACAATTCCAAACATTCAATACATTTAAACTCGTAAATTTTACTGTAATTTTCACTTACTTTTCATATATTTAATTCTACCAACAAATTATTAATGAAATAAGAAAAATAAACTTCACTTTCAAATTTTGAAAGAAGGTGCTTCAGCATGGGATAATAGTGTGAGCATTAGTATTGAGGGCTGAGTTTGATCCTCACTAGGTGTCATATACAAAAATGAAAAAAAAAAAAAATTTGCATTAAATAACCCAACAAGGGTTGAACTGTTGTAGAATCAACCAACAAAACTTTTGGAAATTAATCAATAAGGAAATGATCCATGTTCAACTTAACAAGCAAAGATTGTTTATCGAATAACAATGTACCATTTTGTGTACCTATTCACCTTCCATGAATGTAGACAAGACAATCACTAATCCAACATTGACCACCCACACACCTGTCTGACTAAATACACTTGCTTAGGTTGCTGGCAACAGCAATACATACCAGCTGGACATCAATCGCTACCAATATACAAAGTAATAGTCACACTCCTCACATTTAGTATTATGCCACCTGTTAGGGAAATGACCATGTAACTGAACTGAGTTTTGTTGCCTTGCCTACACTAATTTATATGATATGCTGAAAAGTTCTTACCTGTAATAATTCATAAGGGGATGCTGAAAAATTCTTGGTCTAACTCACCAAAATTTAAGTAAATGGTAAATTTTTCTTCAGTAGGGAAAGTGTTTCAGAGCAAATGTTTTTTTTCCCTGTAGTCCAAGCATAGAAGAACAAAGATTTTCACAGACAAAAGAGTCTTAGTTACACCAAAGTGTGAAGAATAAAACAAATGCCATTTGGTACTGAATGTGTTAAAATACTCTTCTTAGAAATGGTTATTCACTCAGCAAATTCTTGAAGTAAAGGAAGGGTCAAAGTAAACAATCCAAAACATATTTTAATGCCGAATGAATTCAAACATATATAAGCAAGGTTTGGGATTTTCCCAGTGTTACCCAGTGAATTTCTCCCTATTCCACCTACTCAGATTCAATCATATTTTTACACTCACAAAATAAATATTCCTGGCAGTAAAGAAAAAAAATTTTGATATTTTCTATTGAAAATCAAAAAGAAAGAATTGCCAGTGGTCAGGAATGAAAACAAAGATGGATGTTATTCATATAATGTAAATAGACAGAAAGAAATTTTACTAGAAATATTTATTAAAAATAATTTATTACAGAAGGAGTTGCAAATTAAACAGAATTATCAGTGATCAAGAATTAAAGGAAACATTACTTAGAGAGCAGGGACATTATTTATATAACATAAGCAGGGGTGGCTGTTAGGCCTGAGTATAATTAGTCTTTGATGTTTATATATTCATCCAGGTTTACATAGAATTATTTTATTCTTTTTTTTTTTTTTTGGTTAATTCATTTTCTATGGTTTATCAACCTTTTGCAGTTTGATAAAAGCCAGAAAATATTTTTAGATCGTCAGAATTTTTTTTTTAGTTAATGATGTAGTGATATAAGTCTTACTAATTACACCTTAGGTGGGGGGAGAAGAGGTGGATTCATGCATTTCCCAAAGGTATTTGCACATAAGTGAATATAATGAACCCAACTGGAATTGAAACACTGTTCTATTGTGGTAAATACAAAATAAAAAAATAACTCTTCTCTACTGTTTTCAAATTCACAAGGCTATGCAAAAATTTATTTTGACCAATAGAAAAAGGGATTGGCTCCAGGCTGAAGAAATGACCTAGGCAAAGTTTAACGAGCCTATGTGGAAATTTATTTTGACCAATGGAAAAAGGAGTGGCTTACAAACTGAGAAAAAAGTAATGAGCCAATGTGAAATTGCTTTTTGATATAAATAGGCAGGAAAAGTTGAATCAAGGAGGGGAGAGAGAGAGAGAATTACACTACTTGCACAGGACCTGATATTCCTAAATGGTCACCCATCTAAGTACTGACTCAATGTTGCTTAACTTCAGTGATTGTATGGGAACCGGTGTTTCAACATGATATGGTTGTAAGCCTTTTTGTTTGTACTTGTTTAATTTATTTTAGTGAAATATCTAATGTCTTCAATTCATTTAAATTAAAATATTTTTCTATATCTAACATATCAATTCTGTATCATATGAACATTGCCTTTGTTGCTTTAAATGAATACCACCTCATGTGCCATGCTGAGTAAGACAATAAACTACATCCATGTCCTGGGTAAGACAATAAACTACATTCAACAGCAAGGCCGCTGATTAGAAGATTTTGAGGAGCATGGAACTACCTCTTAACTGCTGGTGTTCCCAGGTCCATCCTGACCCAGAATGGTAGCACCTGTTAGGGTCCTAACTATGGGCAAATAGTTAACACCCAAACTGAGGTCAAAACACTATGAAAATGTAAAAATAAGTTTTAGTACCAGCAATACATTTTTGATGAAAAAAATATTACCAGTAATACATTTTTGAAAAAAAAAAAAAACAAAAAAAAACATTACCAGCAATACATTTTTTGCCGGCATTAAATAACCCATGGTAAAACAAACAGATAGATAGATAGATAGATAGATAGATAGATAGATAGATAGATAGATAGATAGATAGATAGATAGAAAATATTACCAGCAAATAAAATCTTGCCAGACTTAAATAAGCCATTGAGGTTGATATGCCATAAAACAAACTAAACCAAACAAAAAAACAACTCATGCTGCATTTCATACAAGCCACAATTTATTCAATTGAATTAAAAAGATAGCCTTAGAACATTGAAAATAATTTCATCCAAGAAATGTTTAAGTATAAATATTACAGAAAAAATTCATATATATGTCACTTCACATGTAGGGCGTTAAATATTGCCAAAAGGATGGTCTTTCTCTTGACACTGCTCTTACTGTATATTTCCCTCAGCAATTATTTGTTTTAAAAAGTTATTTTTAGAATTTTAATGAAATCTAAACAAACTAAACTGGATTTATACATTTCATTTCTTTTAGAGAACTAACAACAAAAATGTTAAACATGATTTATTTATTTATTTACAAGATTATTGGTTTAAAAACGACAAAAAAAATTCATAGTTGTTGCCAACACGTTTTGTTTTCCAACTTTATCAAGGTAAGCAATGAAAGTGAAATGTTTTGTAGCCATAGTTACATCAAATCCAAAATAAAAATAAAAAAAATTAAAAAAAAAAAAAAAAAGGGAAGATGCTCCCATGTAAGTCTCTTTCTGGATATTGGTAACATCCTTTTTACTAAGTTTGTTTTTTGTTTTCATGTCGACAATATAGTTAAATTTCCCAGAAATAATTCTAAAAATACGACAAACTGGTTTAAAAATGACAACTGGAAAAAAAATTGTCTCTGATGATGAAACCTGTTGGCAAGAACTAAGAATAATTTTCCAATTGTCATTTTTAAACCAATTTGTCTTATTTCCAAATTATTTCTGGGAAATTTAACTATATTGTTTACAAGATTATAAAAATTATATGAACCAACTACAATGCAATATTTATTATTTATCATATTATTAAAAAATGACTATGAAAACAAATTTTTTATACATAAATTATATAAAATTGTCTGCAAACTATCAAACAAAATTAAATAAAAATATGTAATGATACATAACTAATTAGAAACATTGAAAAAAAAAATAAATAAATAAAATAAAATAAAATAATGTATGTATAAATCCATATATTTTTATGGGCATTTCTTTCATTTGCTTTCATCAAATAAAATCACAGATATTGGTTGAGAGCATTTGGATTTATACATGCAGGTTTTTTTCTCAAATTTTCAAAATTAATAATTATTTATTGTTAAGAGGTATGGTGGAGTAATGGACAGCATCTAGGATTGAGGAATCAGAGAGCCAAGTTCAAATCCCAGTCTAGTTAAATTTACTTATGTGCTAATACTCTTGGGAAAGATATGAATTCATGTCTTCTCCTGGCAACTATGGGTAAAAATAGCAGGACAGACTGGGTTCTATAGCCTTGGGTGGAAACTAGTCTAGGAGAAGGACAGCTCTGAATTCAAATCCCAGCTGCCTCATTGGTCCTACCTCTTTAGGCAAAGGTCAGAAGATCACTTCTAAAACTAATCCAACTCACATGTGTCTTAAAGAAAGGAACTGCCCCGCCCTTTACTTCAAGCCAAGACAGAAAATAATGGATTCCTCAGGCAATGGTTCGAACAAGCACAATACTAGGATACAGTACATTGCTGTGGACCTCTGTGATTTTGGATCATTCACCCAGAGTACTTTAGACTATGACAACTTATTGTTAAGTGTTTATTTAAATTTACTTGTTCTCTAGTTCGCAAATAACATGGTAAATAGTAAATATTACATTCTAGTAAGCATTTCTAGTAACTAAGCAATCTAAGAAATGGTATTTAAGATTTTTGCTGACAATTCTCAAATCAAAAAATGTTTTAAATACAGTTTCATATACTTGGGTTTTATTAAAATTATATAAATAACTTTTTAAAACCATAAATATTGCCAAGAGTGTATACCAATGATTCCTAACATGGGGCACATGCCCTCATCTGGTGGGGCATCATAATATTTTGGTGGGACATGTGGAGGATGTGCACCCTTCGGTTTACTATACCAACAGAATAAGGGGGCAATTCAAGAATAAGTTATTAACAGTGAATTGTTTTCTAGTGTGTCCGAGTGAAAGTGTTAATGCGTGTTAATACATACGATGCATGTAGAGCATGTATACATAAAAATTCAACCACCAATGCACAAAATTTGTTATTACCATTTTCATCTTCATATTTAGCTGAATGTGGCTTTAGTGCTGTAAATGATTTGTTATTGACGAAAAGAAATTGACTGAATATCACTAAACGAGGAGACTTGAAGCTTAAGCTGACTAAATTGGTGCCTAATATAAAATCTATCTGTAACAGACATGACACACAAGGATTTCACTAACAGTCATTTTGTGATGAACTCAAATTTCATTTTGCATTTCATGATTAAAAATATTACAGAATAAGTTTTCATTCAAATATTTTATATTTCTGCCTTTCAGTTCTCTATTATATGTTTTGAAACGATATAGATTTAACTGACTTTTTGTTTTTTTAATTTTTCTCTTTCTTGGACGCCATTGTCTTTGGAGGTTTCTTTAGAGACCAAGCTTCCTTCACGTGAATTGCTGTAAAATTTTGAATATGTAAAAATTAAATATTACAGGTGAAGAGGGGGCACCAAAATTTTAGAAATACCAAAGTAGGGCATGGCCCCAAATCGGTTGGGAACCACTGATGTATACAGTAAGAATGGTGTCAAGAGAAAAACCGCCCTGTTAATAGACCATAATTTTTTTTTTTGTTAGTACAATTGTTAAACTTTGCTATTTCTTTTGCATATTTTATTCTGTTTCAGCTTAAGCCTATCTTGCTAAGAAAATCTTACGACATTCACATATATATATTGTTCAAGCCTATGTAATTTTGTTTTTCTATTTAAACAGAAAGAAAGACTTTACTATAATGTTACTTTCCTCTTAAATCCTCACCTAAAAGGTCTCTTTCTTTCTCCTGCCATTTATGTGGGGGTGTGAGAGTCTAAAACTGCAGATTATTTATCTTCTCCAGGTGTAACACTTACACAAGCACACCTGTAAGAATAAAACCTGATTTAATCTCTTACCTGCCTAGGTAGGTTTTTCTCCGCCTGCTACTTTGCACTCTCCACCTGCTCTCCCTCATCTAAAGTAGTTAATCCTGATAAAGCACCATGAAAACATTTCCATTCAATAATCATCAAATGGCAACATATGGGGGTCAAGTTTTGTGCAAGTAATTCTCCGAGATTCTAATATCTGCTAACATTGCTTTGAACTGTTCAACTTTGTTTTTTTTTTGAGTTTTTTTAAATCAAATTTCTTTGAAAGGAATTCAATAAGACTGGAGCTTAATAATAAAAAAAAATAAAAAAATTAATTTACATAAATATTTATTTTTAAATAATCTGTGGGGAGGTCCGAAATTTTATTACAGCTTCAGAAATGGATATTTTAAAAGTATCTATTAATATATATTAATATATTAAAGCAAATAAAGAAGAAGAGCAAGAATATCCAAAAAAATTATCACTCATCATAAAATGGTGAATAGAAAAATATAACAAGGGGAGGGTAACCCGTTATTGCTCCTCACTCTTCAGAGCTCAATCAAAAGCAAAAAACAAATATATGCATGCAAAAAAATTAACAGAAAATCAGCAATATTAATCAGAAACAGATTACATTTAGACTCAGCAGCCATTCTTTCTGATTACAGAGGGAAGGCTGCTTAGACTTAATATAAATGGTCCTGAAAATAATGTATTGAGTCAAACTTTTGACAATAGAGTCTTTGTATTAAAACAACTGAAATAATTGGAAAACTCAAGCATCCACATGGAAATGACAATCTACTGTTGGTAAATTTACTGAGTTTATTTTACTAACCATAAAGTGATGAATCAAAAAATATAACGAAAAAAGGAAACAAAAAAGAAAAAAGGGCTATCACTCCTCACTATTCAGAGCCAGTCAAAGATAAAATCTAAGTAGATGCACAACAACTAAAAAAAAAAGGGAGAAGAAAAAAATACTACTAGAGAATCAGCAATATAAATCACAGGCAGATTATATTGCAACCCATCAGCCATTCCTTCTTCTTACAGAGGGGAAGCTGGTTAGACTTTACAGTGATTAATAATTGTTTTGTTTATCCTTGCTCTTCCCCACTTTATTCTCATATATTTGTATATATTATTAGATGCTTTTAAAATGTCTGTTTTTAAAACCATATTTATTTTTCAACATCTCCTTCTTTGTCAATATATTTAACCAAATGTTTGCCTATGAATTCCATGGTTTGAATATTATGTGTGAATTTCAGATGAAAATTGATCCACCAATCTCTCTTTCTATATGGATTATAAGAATGTACTTTGGATCTGGGATCATGAGACCATCTTTTGGACCTGGAGTAAAGAAAAG